GTGTCTTATTAAAATCATTAAAATTGTCCCTATTTAAAATTCACCCTAGGTCAGTCCCGCTTGCTGAAAAAGCCATGTCTTGAGGGCGCGGCGGAAGGTTAGGAGATCCGGAATCGTCCGGATCTCGGGGGGTAGTTCGTTCCAGAGGGTGGGGGCACCCACAGAGAAGGCCCTCCCCCTGGGGGTCGCCAGCCGACATCTGAATCACACCCCTGTTTCAGTGATTAGAGAACCTGAACTAAATCAGCTGTTTATGGGTATGTTTAGCAGCAAATGTTATACAGCTATTTAAAGAAGTCAGGGGGAAAAAAAGCTTTTTTAAAAAAATAAAGCATTTAAAAATTTATTTCAAGGCATTTATCTGTAGCAGAACAAGAATACCTGTAGTTTGTTGAAATTTTGTTTGTAGGCATCCTGTTTGTCTTGAACAGCAATGGCCAGTGGTGGGATTTCTAGCCCCATGCGTGCCATGCACTTAGTTTCCCTGATTAAGGTGAGAATCTCAGGATCAAAATTCACAAATATTTCTCCAGTCTCTGGAGCTTTCACCAATAATGATGCTTGAAGTCCCGCTTTAATTAGCTGAACCTAGAAATAACAAGTGTTCCACATATTAACCTCATCAAATAGATTATCAGAGACATATATCAAGAGTTTCAGAGAAGAACTAGTAAACAGGTTCAGCCACATATAAGCATTTGACTTTTTCTGACCTAAACAGTGATAGATCCCAGCTCTGCTAGCTACAGTATGTAGAACTTTCCTTGATGCTCTAACCAAGCTTCTACCAATAAAACTGAGGGACATTAATTCAATATCCTAGTTACAATAGCAGGACAAACTGATCATATTGGTTTATTATGTCATACATGAACTGTTGCTACCATAATCCCAAGTGTGATTCTAATGTATATTAACATCTAAGTATAATAACATCAAGACATTCCACAATATTCATTATAAAAATATGCAGCCCGTTGTAGTACCTGTTGAAGCCATCCTCTGTGGTAGACTATTTCAAACTCAAGAAGGACTTTAGCCACTCTGTTGTAGTTGCGGATTATAAGCTTTGCTTCTTCTGTCTGCAGAACTGTGGAATGTTTTTGGAATAGATTCATAGGTTCCTGGATTCGGTGAAACAGCTGTCGTGCCCACAAGATCTTACCAGCCATGGGAGGAAGATTACGAGCCAGAGGAGGGTCATTCTTGTGTTTTGAGTACAGCTTAGAGACCATCTCAATGTCATGATCATAGTTTTGTAAGATGATCTGATATTTATCAGCAATGCCAAGATTAGGGATTCCAAGTCTATGAAAAATCATCATCATCATCATCATCATCAAGAAGGAGAAACTTCCTGACAGTTAGAACAATTAACCAGTGGAACAACCTGCCTTCAGAAGCGGTGAATGCTCCAAAACTGGAAATTTTTAAGAAGAGACTGGACAGCCATTTGTCTGAAATGGTATAGGATTTCCTGCCTAAGCAGGAGGTTGGGCTAGATAACCTCCAAGATCCCTTCCAACTTTTTATTATTATTATTATTATTATTATTATTATTATTATTATTATTATTATTATTATTATTATTATTATTATTATTATTATTATTATTATTATTATTATTATTATTATGTTCAGTACATTATTAATTTTTCAATTATTTATTCGGAAGAAGACACCAAAGATTAGTTTAACTTTCTGAAGCAATGTATTGACGGGATCATCAGACCATAGCACATTGAGATGTCAAACAGGAATGGACAAGTCTACATCACTGTATAACTAAGAAAAAAGTAGATTTATTTATTTGCATTATAAAATGTGATATGTATCATTTTGTCCCATACATTTTAAGTAGAAGTATGCAAAAGATTTCAAACTCAAAATACTTTCAAGCTCTAACGGTCATTTGAGAACAAAATGGTTCTGAATTTTTCAGGATTCTCTAACCATTTCAAAATATTGTATGTATTGTATTACATTGCCCTGTATTGAATTTTAATTTCTGTAATGTATATTGCGCTGAGTTCCAAAATGGCTTTGAGCAGCTTGTAAAACAAAAAGAACTTAAAAAATAACCAAACTCCAAAACTCAAGAAAAATCCATATCCTAACCATTTATATCGCAAGAAAAATGGTCCTAACAGCAGTAATTGCCTGTTTTATGCTTGAAAGAGTGCTTCTTGGTTCAAATACTACCAGTAATATTAGAACATCTCTTTCAAACTGTAAAATATAAGTTTTAGATTCCAAATGTTTTGAAATCTAAATATTTTTCATAACATTAATTTTACATGTCAAACCACATTTTGTTTGTGGAAGTGTTCAGGTAACTTTTTTAAGGAAAGGTGATGTTATTCTTGTCTGCTGTTATCTGTTAAATAAGCCATATATTTCATTTCAAAGAAAATATGGGAAACATGGCAGCTAGCTAAATTTACCAAGATTGGCAAAGTAAAAGATTTTTTAACACACATGAGTCACAATTAGCTATCTTATGCTGGGTATATATGAAAGTTGAAGGTTCTTTTTAGATCATATGATTTGGTCCTGTTATCACTTTGTTTTGGTTTGATTAATTTCCCAAATTATATTAACATATACATGATGCTGAATTTCTAAACTATGAAAATTTTCCTCTTACAGACAATTTTGGCATTATTGAACTTGGTGTACAGCAAACGATAATCCTATGAAACTAGAAAATAAGTTATTCTGCTGATTTTAAGGAACAGATCCAAGACATGATTTTGTTATCTACTTTTTAAAGTCTTTTAAGGAACAGATCCAAGACATGATTTTGTTATCTACTTTTTAAAGTCTTTGTGCTCTAAAAAAGTGTTTATTATGTTGCTATATGGTCCAGATTTAATGATTAGGTCAACAAATGGTTAATTCCATATAAGTATTTATTCTTATCATATGGATTTTTTTCTTAATTCTTCTTTTTTCTCATTATTATGTGGAGATTTAATCACTATGGTATGATTATTTTTTCCACTGTACTATCACTATTCAACGTAGTCTTTTTCCTTTATATGCTATTAATTTGACTTTTTTAAAAAAAAATTGACAGAACCTCTAGATTCACAGATGCTTCTGCTTCTAGTCATATGTCCAGAACAGTAAAGGTCAACATTGTGTAAATAAGTAATAATATTTTTTTTAAAAAAATTAAACTGGAAAGGGAAAATAAAGCAGTTTCAAGCATTACTGAAAACTAAAATATTTGGCTTGCACATATTCCCTCAGTAATTATATGCATGGACTCAACTAAAATAATAAAATGACTAGAGATAAATTAGCCACTGATACTATATAATGCTATATACTATATAATATAACAGGAGGACCTGGACAGACTTGGATACTGGGCGCTATCTAACAAAATGAAATTCAATGGTGAAAAAAGTAAGGTTCTACATTTGGGCAAGGGGAACCAAATGTACAGGTACAGTATAGGGGGTGCCTTGCTCAATAGTAGTAACTGTGAGAGGGATCTCGGAGTCCTAGTAGACAATCACTTAAATATGAGCCAGCAGTGTGCTGCAGCTGTCAAAAAAGCCAACTCAGTGCTGGGCTGCATTAACAGAGGGATAGAATCAAGATCACGTGAAGTATTAATACCACTTTACAATGCCTTGATAAGGCCACACTTGGAATACTGCATCCAATTTTGGTCACCACGATGTAAAAAAGATGCTGAGACTCTAGAAAGAGTACAGAGAAGAGCAACAAAGATGATTAGGGGACTGGAGGCTAAAACGTATGAGGAACAGTTGCTGGAATTGGGTATGTCTAGTTTACTGAAGAGAAGGATGAGGGGTGACATGATAGCAGTGTTCCAATATCTCAGGGGCTGCCACAAAGAAGAGGGAGTCAAGCTATTCTCCAAAGCGCCTGAAGGCAGGACAAGAAGCAATGGGTGGAAACTAACCAAAGAGAGAAGCAACCTAGAACTAAGGAGAAACTTCCTGACAGTTAGAACAATTAACCAGTGGAACAACCTGCCTCCAGAAGCGGTGAATGCTCCAACACTGGAAGTTTTTAAGAAGAGACTGGACAGCCATTTGTCCGAAATGGTGTAGGGTTTCCTGCCTGAGCAGGGGGTTGGACTCGATTACCTCCAAGGTCCCTTCCAACTTTATTATTATTATTATAATTAGTACCAGACAAGATCAATGGTATTTTGTTTGTGAACAGATAAATTATATCATTTTTTACCGCAGCTCATACACTGAATGCGCCTATTTAAGAAATTGAGATAGTTGGACCTTATTCATCCTGCTATTAGGGTTTTTTTCAATAATTAAAAAAAAAATCCTTTCTATATGTTATAGAGATACGTGCTTTATAGACTACAAGCAAAATTTTCAAAATGTGATTCAAAAACAAAAGAGACTGTCAAAGTATATTGGTATTATTGGCACTATTTTTTCCAGACAATTTCAAGTAAAAAGTAATCATTTTTATACCTTTCAAATTTCTTCAGCGTATCAAGGGCTCTTTCAGTGTTCAAAATCTTTTCAAAGGTAGTGTCCATAAACATCTGTAATTGGCGCTGTAGAAAGAAGCAAAGAGATAGAGAATGTTCATAAGCACAATCACTAAATTTATAAATCACATTAGCAATTTTTTACCCAGGATTTACTGAATAAATGACAATTGGCACGATTCACACAAACTAAGAAGTCCTAAATTATGGTGCAGAGAGCACAACAAACTTGGTATAAGCCAAACCCAAGCAATTATTATTGTTAAATTTACTTCCCATCTCCAGGAATTCAGTTGCTTATACCAAGTTTGTTGTTTGAATACAGTCCCCAAGATTCCACTACATTTGTGTACAACTGTAACCAAGAAAGAGACCAATCAAACTGGAGAACCCTTATGACATAGGCAAAGAGAGAATCTAGAGACCACTAAACTATTGTAATTACTGTTCTGAAGGCTACACACCAGAAGTGGGTGAAGACAGTTCAAAATTGATAGGATTACTTATATACTGCTTAGCAATCAAGGTGAGCATTTTTTTTCTAAGCCATATGAAACATATGGCATCATTAAGAATGAGATTCTCTCATCATGTTCTATCTCCAACTCTCTTCTCCCCATTTCTTCCATGTAAAATGTCATTAAATTCTAGGGAAGAATGAAATGCTACTTTGGTGGACCGAGCAGAGAAAGATGATGAGATAAGAAAAGACACATATTAGCTCCATGTGAAATTTCATCTAGGAATTATATAGGCTATTACCTTCCTCTACTACTTGAAATTATGCAAGATGCAATATTCATGCTAAGATTAGCAGTTCTGATCTGAGAGCTCAAACTAACTTTCAGTCTAAACCCACAACATATATGATGTACGAAATGCAACAAAACCTTCATTTAAGAGACCTTCACTGAGTGGACTTCATATGTAAAGGACTAGATTTCTATCTGAACAGTCCTCTGAAATAAAGGGTGAGTCCCAAGTTGTTTGAAGGTCAGTTAAATGTAGGTTAATTTTACCTTAATTGTATGACATCTGTGGTGATTTGTATCATCTGCATAAAGTCATTATGCAAATGATGAAAATCACTGCAATATTACACTTTTGTACTTACTAGACATTTGGGAGATCATTTCCTACCCACCCCCCAATATGGTCCATTAATATGAGGTTTTGCTGTAAAAGTTTTAATGACTTAACCAACCCAAATAGAATATTTATTATTAACAATTTTGAAAACTATGAAATTGGGAAGAACCAAACCTACATGTAGTTCATTTGTTTGCTTGCAAAACTCTTCATAGTCCTGATCAAAATCAGTTTTCCTCTGATCCACGAAATTGTACTGTTTTTTCTTTATAGTGGCAACAATATTCTAAATGCAATTGGAAATATGAATATTTGAAAGGTTATATTATTCTCATCATTTCTTATGCTTAGAAGAAAGATATATAATGCAAAGAATATGGTTACATCATTCCAAAGTAACGTTTTGCAACCCAATGAATTCTCCTTTCCAAAACACAATTCATTTTTCTAAGTAAAATAAGTATTGAAACATGCAAGTTTGTACAACATATGTTAGGTCATCTCCTACACAATATCCATGTTACACACTCTGGGGCAGTGAAAATGCTTTTTACAGAAAACATGCAGAAAAACCAGAAATCATTGTCACCACCACAAATCATAACATTAACGGCCCTGTCGTGAATTACCTCCCATTGCTCCTTCATTGCTGCGGTCTGTACAGGTAAAAGTACAATAAGATATTTCACTACATTAATATTCAGCAAGTGTATGAAAGCTCAAAATCCCTTATAACATCAAAAAATTAATTTCCACAATTCTTTGGAGAAAGTTACAAAAACTGAATTGACAAAATGCCAATACTCTGCCTACGCACCCTTTGAAAACGACTTGGAATAAGTGTTTTGGAACTTGTATCAACAGCAGCTCTTCTATGCCACAAATTCAAGCAAAAGTATATATTTTTTAGGTTTCTGCATGAATGTGAAAACAATATAGCTACTTTAAAAATCATATTAGATGACTTCTTAAAGCAGCCACGTCTTTTTTTCTAGGATGTGATGAAGATTGAAAAAAATGGCAGGTTTTTTTCAATGCATAGCAAAGAGATGCTGTGTTTACACAAGTCCAAAGCAATTCTTGAGCCTTATTTTTGAGTAGGCATAGTCTTAGTTAATGTAGATTCATAGTGAACAGACCGAGTTCTTGAAGTTTCAGCTTCATTATAGATCTTATTTTTATTGGGACACTAAATTGTGATGTCTTTTCTTTAATTATCCTTATTACTGCTCTTTCTTTTTAGCATTAATTTTATTGAAGAATTTTTTTACAGAGTAAAAACAGCAAAAGTTTAAAGAGAAAGAGAAATAAAGGAAAGTGGTAAGTAAATAAATAAGAAAAAAAGAAAAAAAAATAGAAGTGGCTTTCAATCTTCTTTACAGCAGTTATCAATACAGTTATATTTTGTCCTTTCTCTCTACAGTTATATGGTAGCTCCCTTCTTTCCACATATTTTAATTGCCAAACCCATAAATCATTAGTTCATTTTTCCTATTTTCAGCAAAAAAAATCTTTAAAGGGTTTCCAGTCCCTGACAAATGCAGTTATTGTTTTTCCCTAATCAAACAAGTCAGCTTTGTCATCTCTGCAAATTCTGTGGGTTTTTTTTGTTTTTTGTTTATATTACTTCTAATCCCCGAGACAGAATTCTTTTCCCTACAAAGCAAGACACTGTCTCATATAAAGCTAGAAGGAGTTTTAGGACCCACTTGCCATTGCCAGTTTTGCAGTCAGCAATACTATGGGATACGGCCCGAGAGCACTGCTACCCAGAATTCTATCTCAATACGCTCAAATTTGCCAGCCAGGAAAATAAACTTATGGTTTTGTCACCAGAAAGGCATGAGGAAGAAATTAGATGGCTTGCCTACTGGGGAAACTAAAGGAACAGCAAGGCATCAGCAACCATGAACTAAATTGTACAGGTATCAGCATCACAGTTATTAATCATGTTTATGCATTTCCTATAGAAAACATAGGAATGTTTTTCTCAAAGGTTTTCCAAAAAGTTGAATTGAAGAAGCCTCCTGGATGAGAAGTGACACATTTTCAAAGGAAAAAAAAAACCCAAGAAAGTCCAGTTGCCTTTTGGAAAAAATACTCTTGGGACATCCATGACCTAAATCAGAGGTCTTCAAACGTGACCCTTTTATGACTTGTGGACTTCAACTCCCAGAATTCCTCAGCCAGTGTGGGAGTTGAAGTCCACAAGTCATAAAAGGGCCAAGTTTGAAGACCCATGACCTAGATCAGGAGTGTCAAACTGCCGGCCCGCAGGCCGGACGCGTCACAAGGAAACCACACCTACTCCATTGCCATCAATGGGGAAAAAGCTCCGTGACGTCACGTGATGTCACATGACATCACGAGTTTGACATGTCTGACCTAGATGATTGAGAATTTCCATAGACATAGTAATATTTTCTACTAGCTGTACCCGGCCACGCGTTGCTGTGGCTCAGTCTGGTTAAATGGAAAAGAAAGAAAAGAGAAAGCGCACGTTTGTGTTGCTTTTACGTCCAACAGATGGTGCTGTTTTTCAAAAAAGCATGTTTTACCTGTCACAGGTGTGACATCTATATAATATAGGTATATAAAAACACGCGCGTATTCGAATGCAACGTTGTGTCAAAATTTCAAAGCAATCGGTGAAGAACTTTCAGAGATTTAAGATTTTGAACAAACGAAACATTTACATTTTTATTTATATAGATGATGTAGTCATTAAGGCTTCAGGCTACAAATCTGAGACTATAAGTTCTACATCTACCTTAGATACTGTATGAAGCTACCTGGATGACCTTGGGCCAGTTACTCTCTCTCAGCCCTAGGAAGGAAGCAGTGGCAAACCACTTCTGAAATCTTGCCAAGGAAACTGCAGGGATTTGTCCAGCCAATCATCAGAAGTCAACACTTGAAGGCATGTATGTACACACATACTGGAACTTAACACAAGAACTTATATTGCAGGAAGTCATTAAGAGCTGCTTATGTAGCTTTTGGGCTACAATTTGAAACCAGTAGGCAATCTGTTTTACTTACTAACTCAATATACTCAGTTTGGACAAGTTGCTAGTTTTAGACATCCGACACAAACTTCCAGCTCAAGTGGTGATTTTAAAGCAGAGAGTAATGAGCAGGCTAACTCTACAAACAGCTGTCACAATGGCCGGGTTCATAGCTCACATTAAATCACAGTTTGTTTTAATACAGCTTGCTGAAAAGGTCAAAGTGGCTTGTTTCACAGGTGTTAAACATTCATCATGCTTTACAAAGACTCGCTGACTTCACATCATGCTAAATGAGAAACAAAATATCATGGCTTAGTGGGATGTGCAAGCTCTGAAGCAGTTCAGTTTAGGCAGTCTGTAGAATTCAGAGAATTCCTAATCCAGCATAGAAAAGAAAGAATATTTTTTTTATCTCCAATACGCTCTCTAGGCAATCATTCAAATACTTTGCCCTTGAAATGTTGTAGACTCCGTTCCCGCCATTATTATGGCCAGGGGTTCCAAATGCTGTGACTTACAGTGCAAAATATATGGAGGCCAAAGAAATTGCTTTGTTTTTCTGGACCCAAGTAATATTGGTAAAAAAAAAAAAAGGCACTGCATACCTGATACTTAGTTGCCATTACTTCTAATCCTTCCATCTTCGAGTCTTGTAAGACTGAGTAAGTTGTGATAGTATCAAAGATGTGCATAATTTTAAGTAGGCGGCGATGAAAAGTTTCAAATTTTCCAAATATATACATTTCACTAAAATCAAACTGCCGTTCAGCTGGATTCTCTTCCAATTTCTGTTTGGTCTTGTGAAAACAGTTTTGGTACTCCTTGACAACATAAAGCGAGATATAAATACATGGAAGTCAGTGTTAACTGCAACATTGTTCATAATACTCATAAAGGCTCTTAAGTTATTTCCCTAGTGAAATTAAAATCCAATTTTGCCCTTTTTGGAAACTAAATCCTCCCCAACTGACTCAAGCAGGAAGGTTGTGTTTACTGCTTCTGGCTTCTACCAACTACTTACCTGCTTAAGTCTTATAGCAGCTTGTATTTTTTCCAAAACTACATCTTGCGGTTGATCCCAGATGGTGGCAGTGTTGTTATTAGTAATATATGCTTTGCAGGCTGTTATCATTTGATTTGTAACCTGTAAGTAGAACGATAGGTTTTGTCTCAAAAATTTGTGTGGAACAAAGAAGTTTGAGGTCCATTTTCTTTCACAGCCAGCAACTAAATCAGTGGTGGGTAACTTGCAATCGTTCAGATGTTACTAAACTACAATCCCACATAACTCACTATTGGTTATAATGGATCAACTGCTGAGTTCCATTATTTACTTTTCATTGTAGACTTTTCTTTAGTTTCCAGTTTTGCAATTAACATAACCTGTTATTCTTCCCCACCCAGCTGTTTAATATGTGTAACTAAGTTTTTGTAAAAAACAATATGGATGACCTCGGGTCAAAATGCCTAGCTATGATGTAATGATAAACCCAATTCATCTATCCTAATAATCAGTCCAAACAATTTATCAATGATCTCCATTTCAGGATTCAACAGATCCTATTTTTAGTTATTTTTTTAAAATCTTCTCTAGATTTCAAAAATTGTATTTCATTACTTAAGGTAAGTCTGTATTTCCTAAGATGGATCAGTGTCCAGAGTTGTTGGGAACAGGGCAGCAAACAAGTTTAATAAATTATTAATGAGTTGGGTGGTGTATAAATGTGACGAGTAAATAAACAAATAGATACGTTATTATTCTCTACAGAACAGTTTTCGATGGCCTAAAGTGGCTTAATTCCAGTTCTGAAGAAGAGCCATTACAACTTGCCTTTACAAAGAGGGAAGTTATCTTCTCTGAAGTGTTATAATAGCGTGAGATGCTGTGGATCATTTTGATAGCATGAATGAGTCCTGGAATAGCATCTACCATGATCACCTGAAATGCCAACAAGATGAATCGTAATGTGAAGCATCGTATAACTAACATCATTTATATCAGTTAGCCCGAGGGCACACGGGCTTCTGCCATCATCCCAAATAATAGTTGCAGTCCTTGACCAGATAAAGTAATTTTTAAAGTTGCCAAGATTTTCTGCATTTATGAGACTGTTGAAATCTATATAACCCATAACCATACATTACAGGAGATATTATTAAGTTATAACTCACTCAATTGCGTCACAGTTGCATGCACAACCGTTAACTTATGAACTGGGCATTCTGTGCAGTCCAATGAGCAGACATTTTAAACTTACAGGATTGCAGTTATACAGAGGGTCACAGCATTTTTCAAGGGTATACAGATACTTCACATTGTCTTTGGCTTCATTTGTTGCGTCAGTGATCTGGGTATCCAGTTCTCGCCAACTCTTAGAAAATGAAAATGAAACAAATGCTATTTAAAAGAACATCTGGTATTTTAGAAAGGACATTTGCCCTGCAAACATGCTAAGCCTAGTTAGCATGTTTCTTAAATCACACAAAAATTAGAATACCAATTCAGTGACAGCAATAAAATATTATCGCAGACAAGACTTGGCAGCTTCTAGAAGATGTGGACTGAAACGTGAAGCGCTGAAATCATAGATCATGCTGGTTAAAATTCACAGGCGTTCTGTGAATTTTAACCATCATGATTTATTATTTCAGCACTTAAAGTTGAGGTAGGAATTCTACCAGGAGATTGTTTTCCCAAGCTAAAGTATCTGGCAAAGTCATTTGTATTTTAGGATTTTTTTTAGTAAGTTCAAAACAATGTTATGTTTCACTATATCAAACTGCAGCTTTCCCCTGCAGTATATTTGGAAGACAAAAATAAAAGTCTTTTTACAAGTACCGTATTTTCCGGCGTATAAGACGACTTTCTAAACCATGAAAATCTTCTCAAAAGTCGGGGGTCATCTTATACGCCCAGTTGTCTTATATGCCGGAAAATACGGGTATTCTATTTTATTCCTTTACACATGTGGTTTGGCATATTACTCAAGTTTTCTCTCCCCCCCCCTCTCTCTCGCTCAAACTCTATATTTTAACTGGAAAAGTTAGGGGTTGTCTTATACGCCCAGTCGTCTTATACGCGGGAAAATACAGTATGATTTCGGACACCCACTTTTTAAAATATACATTTTGTATTTTAATTCTGAAATGTGATAGATTTCAGAGTAAATTGCCTTTCAACTCATTGGGTTGAAAGATTTAAATATAAATGCACTGCTATAAAAAATATTACTTTTAGGTAGAATATAAATTGTTCTTGAATAATCCAACTGACAAACCTTCAAAAGTTTTGATTTAGCAACTGTAAGTACACCAAGAACAGCCTTTACATCTGAAGTCTTTAGCTGATCCAATAAGTAGTTAAATTTGGATAGCCTCTTCTTCCAATGATCCAGCTCAGCTCGTGGACCAAGGTCATCTGCCTCTTTCCGTAGCTGGCTATTTTCAGCAATGACCTAAAATTTAAATCAAAAATGGTAATTTGCCTAAAATAGAAGCTTTTTGCAATATTTTAAGAACATGATAACATGTGAGTTGAGCTTTTCTTTCTTTCTTTCTTCTTCTTCTTCTTCTTCTTCTTCTTCTTCTTCTTCTTCTTCTTCTTCTTCTTCTTCTTCTTCTTCTTCTTTTCTCTCTCTCTCTCTCTCTCTCTCTCTCTCTCTCTCTCTTTCTCTTCCCTTCCCTTCCCTTCCATCCTTCTTTCCTCCATTTTGGTTGTAAATCAAGAACTACCTGTACACTGTAATTGGAAAAGATGTCCTAACACACAGTGGCATTAGAGCAACCTTGCTTAAATAATTCAAAGTATGGCAGGGAATTATCAGCAATCTGCTTGCAATTTGCTCCAGTTTTGGCAATACGCTAAAAACTCTCAGAGTCTAATTCACCTATATTTACAAAGGACGATTGGAGCAACAAAGAATTAGCATAATTAATAAAGCAACGAGCAGAAATCACAAGATTTTTCACCAACCCCTGAAATAGAAACTGGGTTGAATAAAATGGGATATGGAGTTTCTACATTCTTAAGGTCTACCTATTGTGGCTGCAAAATTCTGGGCCACCTCTATAAGATAGCAAAGAAATCTAGAAAACAATTTTGTTTTCTATTATCTAGATTTTTGCAGCCTAAATCTGATAGGCTTTCTACATTGTTTAAAAAGTGGTTTTAGGACTTCCGGTGGCTGCCGGTGGCCGATGGAGGCAATCTGACAGCCTCCCGTCAGCGTTCTATGTAAAAGCCGGCAAAACAGCGCGTATCAGCTGTTTGCCGGCTTCAGCCTTCTTCTCGGGTGAAGGGAAGAAGGTGAGCTGCTGGTGAGTAGGCGTAGAGTTCCCTAGTCTCCCCGAGGGCTTTCGGGGAGATGTAGGTGTGAATTCCGCCGGAGCTCACAGCCATCTCCGTAGATCGGGACGTCTTCATTCCAGCAACGAAGCAAGACGCCGTTTCCACCTCTAAAGATAAAGATCTGAACTGTGAGTAAAGCTCTAATAGACAGAGCTTACCAGGAACGTTGGATTTTTTGGATAAAACTTCAACTCTAACTCGATTGCTTTAAAGACATCTTCTGTTTGGGCTAAGCTGAAAGTGAAACTTAAAGAAAAAAAATGGCTGCGGTTGAACCGCTTCTTTGTTCTAAAGGAAAACTTTCACTTCTCTTCCGGTTGTGGATTGCTACATTGTAATAGATTGTAAAAAATATAGAAAAATTGAAGGAAAAATTTAGAAAAATTCTAAATAAATGACTGCTGTTCTACATTGACTTTTGATACTTTTTAAGAAATTTTTACAACTATTCTTAAGTTATAATGGCTTCTAAACGTGGAACTTCTGCAGTACCTAAAGCTCTTGTTTCATCTCCAGCTGTACAAACATCACAGCAGAAAGCTAAAAACCCCCCACCCTCTCCTCCTCCTTATATTACTCTCAAGGACTTACAAGATTCTTTGGCACAGCTCTCAAAACAAATGACACAACAAACACAGCAAATTATACAGCAAATGAGAGTGGAAACTGAGGAACTTCTTGTAAAGAAAAATGATGAATTGTGTGAGAACTTATCACAAATCTTTCAAGGTTTTGCTTCTCATGTTGACCGTATAGATGAACGTATAGATGATGTGGGGGAGAAGATGGAAGGGATAGAGGAGAGAATGGAGGAGAGAATGGGAAAGGTTCAAGAAGAAGTGCAGATAGTACAAAATGACATGGTGATGTCGCAATTCAGAGAGATGGAACATGCAATAAGAATCAGAGGGTTAAGAGAGGACTTACAGGAAAAACTTAAAGAGGAAATAACAGCTGCACTTGCCCTGGTCTTTGACTGCGATCCTGAAATTATTTTTGGAGAAATTGAAAAAATATATAGAGTAAACTCATGGGTCGCACGTCAGAAGAACCAGCCTAGGGATGTTGTTGTTTATTTTTCTAGGAAGACACGTCACAATGATATAATACAGGCTTTCTATCATCAGAGATTTCAGATAGCTGCACAAGATGTTATACTTTTGAAAGAAATACCATCTAAAATCTTAAGAAAAAGAAAGGAATTTGCCTTTTTGGCACAGGAGTTAAAAAAGCGACAACTGCCTTTTAGATGGGAAATACCAGTGGGAATGGTCCTGAGTTATGCTGGGAACCGTTATAAACTTGATACAGTCCAGAAGGCTAGAGAATTTTACCAAACAGTTCTGAAAGCTGACTCATCACCTATCCCATTAACCAAAGGAGCAGAAGGAGTAGTGGAACAACTAATTGTAGATTTACCAAGTGCTACATCGCTGTCTGCAGTAGAGTCTCAGAGCCAACAACTGTTGGAGTTAAAGGATGCAAAAGAACAGAGAATGACACGTGCAGCTTATAGGCGAAAGGAGAGAGAACAACAAAAAGAAACTGTGCCTATAACATATCCATCTACCTCAGAAGTTGTGGGAGGGGCTAGACCAAAAAGATCTGCGACGGCAGACTTACATGGGATGCTCCAGAAATTTCAAAAACCAAAAGATGGTTAAGATTTTGACTTGGAATGTTAATGGACTGAATTCACCACAAAAAAGGAGAAAAACATTCCACTATTTAAAACAACATAAAAATGATATTATATGTCTACAAGAAACGCATATTTCATTAAATGACCAAAAGTATCTGATTAACTATAAATTGGGACTACATTTTGTTGCACCTGCACCAAGGAAAAAAGCTGGCATAGTTTTTTATGTTAAGAAGGAGTTATTGCCAAAATTAATAGATTATGATACAGAAGGAAGATTTATACTTGTTGAACTTTTGTTGAATGGGAAGAAATGTCTCATAGTTGGTTTATATGCACCTAATCAATGTCATCTGCAGAAACAATTTTATCGTTCTCTACATCAAAAAATAGCCCAATTGGATTACAAATCGGTTATTATGATGGGAGATTGGAATGGTGTAATAGATCCAATGAAAGATAAGAAG